CTGTGGTACAGGAGTTAAAGTCTTTGACTGCTAACAGAAAATTCAGGAATTCAAAACCACCAGCAGGAGAAAGCCATGGCAGTATCCATCCATAGGCCTACAGTCTTAGAAAACCTAGCAAGCTATTCTACTCTGACCAATAGGGTCATTATATTTCAATACCTGTCACTATTTTTATGCAGGCAGTTGAAATCACCAGCAGCTCTGAGGGAGAAAGGCAGGCAGTCTCCTCCCATGTGATTCAACACCTCTGAAAATCCACTGGAGGGTCAACAATGAGTTGGTTCCGACTTGAAAGCACATATAACAACATGAGTTACAGAGTCACTCACTATGAGCCAACAGCAATGTGTTTAAAAACTCAAGGGCAACGTGTTTAAAAACCTACAAAGTAAAAAAATGAATTGTCATCATGATAATTCCAAGTCAAGGCAACCGCAGAATAGTATTCAAGGATAATATCTAGTGAACAGACCACTTGAACTGTCAACGTTTTAGTTAACCGCTAACACTTGACCATTTGCACCACTCAAGGACTCTCTATAAGTATGTTATAATTGTTATGTGCTGTGATGTCAATTGTGACTCATAACAATCTTATGCATAAAACAAGAAAACCCTACTGCTCCTATGCCATCCTTAAACCTGTGCTGTGCTTAAAGTCACTGCATAAGTTCATCTCATCTTGGTCTTCCTCTTTTTCACTCACCCTTTACTTTACCAAGCACAATGTCTCTCTCCAAGGAGTCACCCCTCCTGATAATGTGCTAAACTATGAGAGGAAGTTTTCCCCATCCTTGCTTCTAAGAAGCATTCTGGTGCCTTTTCCCAAAATTGATTCGTTTGTTCTTTTTGTGGCCAAAGGCAGTCAATATTCTTCACCAGCACCACCATTTAAAGACATCAATTCTTTTTTGTCTTCCTGACTTGCTGTCCAACTTCCAAATGTGTACGAAGTGACTGAAAATACCATGGTTTGGGTCATGCATGTTATTCTTGAAGAGCATCCTTGCCCTTTAAAGAGGTCCTTTGGAGCAGATTTTCCTGATGCAATGCATCTATCTGATCTCTTGCCTGCTACTTCCATGAGTGTTGGTTGATGGACCTAAGTAAAAATAAATCTTGATCATTTCAGTCTTTCCTGTTTATTGTAATGTCACTTATTGACCTGAAAGTGAGCATTTCTGTTTCCTTGATGTTGCAGTGTAATCCATATTGAAGTCCTTGAGCTTCATCAATAATTGTTTCAAGTCTTCATTTTCAGCAAACAATCTTGTGCCACCTGCATCATATTTTTTTCCCAGCAATAAGTCTGCAGTATTTTACACATTCTACAGTCTCTTTTTTCCAATGGTAAGTCCACATTCTACGGTATTTCTACTAGACAACAGTTCTACAGGGAGCTCTGGTAGCATAGTCTGTGGTGTGTTGTGCTAGAAACTCAAAGGCTGTGTCTCTGGTGGATCAAATTCATCAACTGTTATACCGAAGAGAAATGGGCTGTCTGAGAATTTACCACCTCAGAAACTCAGAGGGTCACTATGAGTCAGAAGTGACTTGGCAGAAGTGCGTTTTTTGACAGTTTCAATAAACAATGTGACATGTGTTAATTGTTATATATTACAATTTCTATATTCCTTTCCTCAGTCTATTTTACATTAGACACAAACCACATACAGGCTTAATTCTAATAAGTTGATTTCAACTCTGAGTAACTTGATAAGGCAGAGTAGAACTACCCTATTATAGATTTTCCAAAGCCACATCTTTTTCAAAGAATAGCTGGTAGGTTTGAACCACTATTTGGCTAGTTAGTTTAGCACTTAACCATTACACCATAAGGATTCTTCATTAAGCAAACCATTCTTTCTATGTACCTAAGACAGTGTAGTGATTTTTAACAATAACTATTCTTTTCTTTTTGGAACACAGAATAAAATGACAACTTACAAAAATTCCATGTTAGAATAAAATCAAGTATTGTGGTTCACTCATTCTCAGTCATATACCAACAATCTCAGCTTCAACAAAGAGCATAAACTAAAGTACATTTTTATTCACTTGAAAACAAATCTTTCAAACAAATTCCTTTTGCTCCAGTAAGATTTATGAACACTTGCTGAAGGCTTTTATCATCCATCCTATGCAGTTTGTTCCAGCTGTTTCCAGCTATAATCTCATGAGCTTGCCTCTTGGAGTAATTTTAGGCTTTATGTATTTGAAAAATACTAAAGAAAGTGTCAAAGGACATATGTGAGGTCTCCATGTGATAAAAGTTTGGGGATCAGGAGAAGTAGGAAGAAACTAAGACTGCATCAGAGTTACATAATAAAACTAATCTGAAAAATACATCTTGAAGTAATTACCAAAAACCATCTATAATAATGATGTTTGTTATGTTGTTATGTGCTTGCGACTCATAGTGACCCTATGTACAACAGCCCTAAACTCTGCTCTGTCCTGTGCCAATCGCACTGTCTCCGACACTCCCATCCCGATTATCCCAGTCACTGAATCAATCCACCTCATAGAGGGCCTTCCCCTCTCAAGCATGATGTCCCTCTCCAAGGACCAGTCCCTTCTTATAACATGACTGAAGTATGTCAGACGAAGCCCCAGAATCCTTGCCTCCAGGGAGCAGCCTGGTTTAACCCTCTCTAGGGTGAATCTGTTTGTTTTCTTAGCAGTCCATGGTACCTTCAGTACTCTTCACCAGCACTACAGCTCAAAGGCATCAATTCCCCTTCAATCTTCCCTAGTCATTGTCCAACTCTCTATACATTGTGTTATCTCACTGTTTTAATTTGAAGCTATGGATTTGTACCCTGCAGTAAATAGTTCAAATCCACTTGTAGGTCCATGAGAGAAAGATGGGCGATCTCCTCCCATGAAATTTACAGCTTCTGAAAACCTACAGGAGTGTCAGCTATGGGTCAGTCCTGACTTGGCAGCACAAAACAACAGATGCTTCCTAAACATAGTACTAACATGTAATTTTGGGGTGAATTTCAGAAATTCATGCTTAAAACTCAATCTAGTACTAATTAATAATAGTATTAATTAATTAAATAATCTAGTATTAATCAATCTAGTTTCATTTTTAGCACATCTATTTTTATCCTTTTAATAGACATAGCAGTCATTGCTATAGTAATTTTTTGTCCTTTCCATGTTATAATAAACTTTTCCTCAGTGTTGAATAATGTATATTCTGAAGTCTTTATAACTATCAAAAAACTTAGATCTTCACTACTGTATCTGGAACTCACAAACAACTTTGTCAACAGATATCATTTGTTTCATAGAAAACAGAATGTAGGTAAGTTATAAATACAAATAAATATGCTTCTGTCGTTCTGAGTCATGGTTCTTGAGAAATACTAATCCTTTCAGGATGCAGAAGCAATGACGTGGAAAATTATTACATAACTTGCGAGGGACTGGAGTGTTTTATGCTAAGTGAGAGAACTCAGTCTCATAAGGACAAATACTATAAATGACCATTATTATAAAAATAGAAAGATAGCTAGTAAAATGGGAATGAGAATGAACGAGAAGGAGGGTAGAAGAAGAAGAGTGAGGATGGACAGAGGGGTAATGATAGGGTCACACGATTTGATGGGTAGAGGGAGAGGTGGGCAAAGGAAATGGGCAAGATTCAGTTTGAGAAATAATGTATATGAACTTTGTAAGCAAAATAGTACAAAATATTTTTAGAAAAGAAATTCTATTCTATTCTATTCTATTCTATTCTATTCTATTCTCATATTTTATTTATTCTAAGACATATTGAATTGATCTAAAGTAAAAATTTAAATATGTTCAACTCGTACATATTCAACAAAGAGGTGTTTTACCACTGCAAAAGTCACAAACTTAATCAAGTTATTATAATCAAGAGCATCTCTAATACGCCCTTGGCAATTACACTGTTATTAAAAGTAATAATAAACAGACAAAAACCCATTTGGTCTTTGAATCAACTACTGGGAAAATGCTACAAATCAATACTTTGCCTTCTTAAAAATTGTTATTACTTCATACACACAAATTCCAGTAAATTTGACAACAGGGATAATCTGCAATAATAATTCTCCTGTTCTAGGAAGCAACTGAGAAGATGCTTATTTCCAAATACGTGTCATCAAATAAAAGTCTCTTATAATAAAAGATAACCATGACAAGCAGGGTGAATTTGGTCCAGATATTGACAAGGCCTGGGTTTCTACCTCGTAAGAGATTGGGAAAAGACATCTAAATTCTCTCCCGCTTGAGCTAAATCAAAGAAAACGCAATTCCTATTTCCAGAAGCAAGAGACTGGCCTATTTTCCAGTAAGTTTCTTGTTCTCATTTTACTATTTTAGGAGTTTAGATCACTCAAGTGTTGCTCTATGGCAAGATCTGATTTCTGGTGGCTCATCATTTTCATGGCATGATGGCTTTATGAAAATGCCATCCAAAAGACCTGTTTTTATCCCTATTTAGCACTGATGTATTTATATCCAAAATAACATTTCAGTGGCGTGATGCCAAGAAAAGAAACAGTTTACTAGAATTTCAGTTGACTTTGTTAAAGGAAATTATTTTAAATTAATGTGGCTACTGAACTCCTGCCATCCTTGACCTCAGAAAATATATTCCTTCTAATTTTTGCTGTATTTATTTATTTAAGTTAAAAATTCCAGCTCATGAATGCTGACCATAAAGGAGCCTCCACCTTCCTGCCACTCTTTCATAATCTTTTTCTAAACACGGGCAAGCACATGTTTGCTGCATTAGCATAGGCACAGCCGGATCACCACCATTAAGTGAAATCATCAATGTATTTTTTGTGGAATCTCTTTTAACAACTTCCACGCCCGTCAGTGAATTGAAACAAGGATGTTTTGTTTGCAATGAGCAACAATTTGATCTCTGGTTTATTAGATGGCACTCAAAATCTTTTTCCATATGGGTTTTCTCCCTCTTCCAAAGAGAATCTGACATCAGCCTAGTTTACCTTCACCAGTGAATGCAGGCTTTTTTCACCAAACATATCCCAGAGGAAGGTCAGGTCTTCCTGGCTATCCACATGTGGCTGCAGCTGGGCTGGCAGAGCTGCCAACAGCTCATACAGACCTATAAAATGAAAATAAAACACAAAGCGTAATCTTAGGGTGATCTCATGAATTTCACGTAAGGTGTGTAGAAATGACAGCCTGGAACATGTCATTTTTACTGGGCTTATATTCTGGGCCATCAAGTAAAGCACCTCTCCAAAGAAGCAAAGGAAAGAATTATTTTAAGTTTCATTCCAAAGACGTATGGATGAGCAGGCTGGTTTTTACCTTTCATGCTTGTCAACATTGCTACAGCCATCCAAGTTTACACGACCCTAGACAGAAAATGTGTACAAGTTTTCAAAGGAGAAGAAAGAGCACACATTCCTTTTCTTAGTCGTTATTACATTTCCCTTAATGCTAGCCAAGGAGTGAAATGAGTCATGGATAGGAAAAACTTCCTTAGAAGAGCAGAAAATGGATAGACTGGGCCACTAAAATAGTTTTTGTGGTTTTAAAACAGTTCCGAGTAATACATTACATCAAAACTATTTACATTTCAACTGGCATCCAAAATGCAGTTCTGAAAAATAAAACACAAGACAAAAGCATGTGTGCTGTATCACATGTCAACCATTTACAAAGACAAAGTAGGTGTAAATTAGCCTGTAGTTTACAGGTATGTATCCAACACCCCTTGAAAGAGTTAAAGTACCAGATCCAGACTACTTGTGGTGCTGGTGCGCCTCTAGACGCTTCCGGGGGACAGACAGTAGCACAGTGTTCCACAGTAGCATGCTCCATAAACTATCCATCTCCTTCAGAGGCTGTCAGACTGCTGTCCAAGAAATGTTGCAACAACGCTCACCCGAGACTCTTTAGGGAGGCGACCTGGCATAAGTCGGTATCAACGCATAGCACATGTTTCATTTTCCAGTGGGATTACATGAGGTAAAAAGGACAAAATTCCTTTTATTTCTGTCTTCTGTCTACAAAAACACCAAGACCTCCCGAGACCTCCAGCGCATGGTGCTGCTGTTATTTTTAGCCTGAGTAAGTGCTGCTATTCACCACAAGGACGACTTTACACGATATTTAACTAGCAAAGAATAGTAAGTACATTACGGACTGCTGAGTAATCTACCTATCACTGTCCTAAAGAGTTACAACACTATTCTACCAGTCAGTGACTGCAAACAAAAACATTAGGTGCCCATTTAGAAAAGTCAAAATATGTAACTCAGGAGAGGCAATTAACTTCAAACATTCCCAGGGTTATATTTCATTCCAGAGCAAAAAAGTTACCAGTTTTTTACATAGTCTTCTAATTATATTCTTTTGCATTCTTAGAGGGTTTATATTTATTTTCTTAAAGGCCTGTGATTGTGTCTAAACGAGCTCTTATTTACAATTTAGTAAAAGAATATTTAGTTCTCTGGCCAACGGATTAGAAGAGGTCCATATCTAACCCCATTCCCAAGAAAGGTGATCCAACTGAATATGGACTCTATTGAACAATATCATTAATATCACAAGTAAGAAAAGTATTGCTAAAGATCATTTAAAAATGGCTAGAACAGTATGCACATGGATATTATCCTGTCACTCACAATATTGTATTTCAAGACGGATCTAGAAATTACTTTTTAAACTATGAAAACAATCCCATTTTCCCTCACCTATTCATCTCCGGCATAGTAGATCATCTGATCACCTGACTCAAAATGCCAAATGCATGTCAATCTCATTTTCCCAATACCTAGTATGCCAATATTTACGTGTTCAGTTTCTTTCTTAACAATATATAAGTTTCCTACATTCATTCTAGAACAGTACCATTAATATCACATGCAAGCAAGATTCTGCTGAGAATTATCCAATATGACTAGAACAGTATATCAACAGAGAACTGCCAGAAGTGCAGGTTGGGTTTAAAGAGGCTAGGGATATTATAGCTAATGGTACTAGGGATATTAAAGCTGATGTTGGATGAATCTTGGCTGAAAGCAGGTAGTACCAGAGGAATGTCTATCCATGTTTCATTGATTATGCAAAGGCATTTCACTATGTGGAGCAAAACAAACTGTGGCTGACACTGAGAAGAAAGAGAATCCCAGAACACTTGATCATGTTTATGCGAAACCTATACTTGGACCAGGAGGCAGTCATCAGAACTGAGCAGAAAACACTGCATGGTTCAAAATTGGGAAGGTGTATACCAGTAATGTGTCCCATTTCCATACCTTTTCAATATATATGCAGAACAGATTATCTGGGAGGTTGGAACCAAAGAGGAGAAATGTGGCAACAGGAATGGAGGAAGACTCATAAACAAACTGCATTATGCAGATGACACAACCCTGCTTGCTGAAACTGAGGAGTATCTGAAGTGCTTGCTGCAGAAGACCAAGGACAGCCTATAATATGGATTGAAGCTCCACATCAAGAAAACAAAGATTCTCACCACTGGGCCAATTGGCAGCATGATAGATGGTGAAGAGATTGAGATTGTGAACAGCTTTAGTTTGCTTAGCTCCAGTCAATGAAAAGACATATTGTGCTGGGAAAGTTTGCTGTCAGAGACTTCTCCTAAATACTCAAGAGCAATGATGTCAGTGTGGAGACTAAGGTGCACCTGATCCAGGCCAAAGTCTTTGCAATTACTTGCTATGCATCAGAGAACTGGAAAATGACTAGGGATGATAGAAGAATTGATACCTTTGAATTATGGTGCTGGAGAATAGTATTGACTAGGGACTGAAAAAGAACAAATGGATACGTCATAGAAAGAGTGAAACCAGGTTGCTCCTTGGAGGCAAGGATTCTGAAGTTTTGCCTAACATACATCCCTCCTGGAAGAGGGACGTCATAGTTGGGAGAATGGAGGGACAGTGCAAGAAAGGAAGACCCTCGATAAGACGGATTGATTCAGTGATTAGGGTAAAGGGGGTAGGTGTGTCAGAGATAGTAAAATTGGCAAAGGATAGAGCAGGGTTTAGGGCTGTTGTGCACAGGGTCGCTGTGAATCACAGATGACTTGACAGCACTTAAAAACAACAATATAAAAAATAGGGAACCGAGTGGCCTAGTGGCAAGAAGCTGTGCTGCAACCCTGAAGACATGAGGTTCATGGCCACCAGCTGTTCTGTGGGAGAAGGATAGGCAATCTCCTCCCATATAATTAAGTGACTCTGAAAACCTGCCTTAGGTCCAGCTATGAGTCGGTTCCATGGGACACAAAAATAACAACAATCTAAAGAGTCTTCCCCTTCGGCACCGTCTCTCCACTCTCCCAAGCATGATGTCCCTCTCCAAGGATCTCTCCCTCCTTACAGTATGTTCAAAGAATGTCAGACGAAGCCTCAGAATCCTTGCCTCCATGGAGCAGCCTGGTTTAACCCTCTCTAGGATGAATCTGTTTGTTTTCTTGGCAGTCCAGGGTACATTCAATACTCTTCTCCAGCACCACAACTCAAAGACATCAATTCTCCTTCTATCCTCCTTAGTCAGTGTCCAACTCTCTGATACATAACATGTGATTGCAAAGACCATAGCCTGTATCGGATGCACCTTAGTCTCCAAAGTGACACCATTGCTCTTCAGGTCCCTAATGGCATACTTTACCAAGGCAATACGTTTTTTTATTTCCAAGCTCCTGGTGCCAAGAGTGGTGACTGTGGAGCCAAGGAGACTACAGTTGTGAACAATCTCAGTCTCTTCACCATCCATCCTGATGCTGCCAATTGGTCAGGTGGGGAGAATCTTTGTCTTCTTGACATTGAGTTTCAATCCATAGTGAACGCTGCAGTCCTTGACCCTCTGCAGTAAGCATTTCAGGTCCTCCTCAGTTTCGGCAAGCAGGGTTGTGTCATCTGCATAACGCAGATTGTTAATAGATCTTCCACCAATCCTGACACCACACTTCTCCTCATAGCGTCCAGCCTCTCAGATAATCTATTCTGCATACAGGTTGAAAAGGTATGGACACAGGACACATCCCTGGCATACGCCTTTTCCAATTTTGAACCATGCAGTGTTTCCTTGTTCTGTTCTGATGACTGCCTCTTGGTTCAAGTATAGGTTTCACACTAGAACGATCAAGTGTTCTGGGATTCCCATTCTTCTCAGAGTCAGCCACAGTTTGTTACAATCCACACAGTTAAACGCCTTTGCATAATCAATGAAACACAGACATTCCTCTGGTATTCCCTGCTTTCAGCTAAGATCCATCTAACATCAGCTACAATATCCCTAGTACCATAACCCCTTCTAAACCCAGCCTGGACTTCCGGCAATTCTCTGCTGATGTGCTGTTCTAATCGTTTTTGGATAATCATCAGTAGAATCTTGCTTGCGTGTGAAATCAACGATACTGTTCTATAGTTTCCACCCTCTGTTGGGTCACTCTTCTTTGAAATGAGAACAAATATAGATCTCTTCCAGTCAGTTGGCCAAGTGGTTGTTCTCCAGATTTCTTGGCACAACTTCGGATACCATCTATTCCTGGGGCCTTATTTTTTGCTATTTCCTTCAAAGCAGCTTCTTTCTTCATCACCATAGGCTCTTGCTCATATGTGATTTCATTAAATTCTTCTGTGTCTGCCAATTGCTTTTGATACAGTGACTCAGTGTATTTCTAAGATCAATGGTTAAAGTCAGAAGTTCCAAGTTGGACAAGAGATGGAAAGACATTTAACCCTCCACCTCACTTATATAGCATGATAAGAAGTTGTGTGAATTAATAATTAGACATAATTTAGATATATCACAATAATTCACTTTGAAAAGAAGCCTCCTACTCTCCTTCCAGTTGACATCTAACTCATAACACATAACACATGTGGGGTTTTTGGTCGTGGGGGCGGTTTCCCCCAGGAAAAAAAAACACACTTATTTAAAACAGCAAAGTGCCATAATAATAATGCAGTGCTTACTAAATCTACTCTTCTCAGCAAGCATATTTAATGAAAGTAGGATACAAAAGCAGATTTGATCAGCCATAAACACATCACTGTTTTCCAAGAGTGGGCTGCTTTCCTTCGTGTTTTATTAATTCCATGAAGGGAGAAAAATC